TGTCTCTGCTACATTTATCATCATGTATGTTTCTTTGTGCAAGTCTTCCATAGTTTGTGCGTGATTCTTGTTTTCTTTTTATGCTTTTCCGCCAGTGCTAATATTATGCTTTACTGTCAAACTTTATCATTGAAAGTTTCATTCTTTTGTTGTTTGTATTTCTGCTAAGAAGCTAATAACTTGCAAGCACACTAATATTTTTTTTGTAAGGCAAAACTTGTATATATGTGCTTGATGAGAAAATGTCGATTGATATTGTTTTCCTTACAAAATTAGCATTTTAGTACAGATGGTTAGCACGCTTGATTTTAATAATACACTGATTTTTTCGCTATGCATTCCTAAATGTGTAGTTTATACTCTTCCTACTCTATTTCATGCTTTTGCAGATGGCATTTGAACTCTATGGTATGCTGGCTGGGAATGTGTTAGTCCTATGACTGGGGAAAATGTGAAGCCAGCTTATGGAGGCGAAGAAGATGCATTCTTGATCGGAAAGTTTTGACTCCAAAATCTATGAAGTGATTCAGATGGTATGGCTTAAATTTTGAGCTTTTCCTTTTGCTTTTAGCATTTTTGCTTGTTAGTATTCTTATTTACGTAATTGTACCATTCACAGGAGGCTCAAAGAAGCAAAAAAAGGCAAGTCTAAGCACTCGCAGTGGAGGAACTAGGATGATTTGAATGAATACTTTTTTGGTGATATATTTATCTAACTGCTTTCACGCAATCATAAAGGTCTTTATAATTGGTTTATATTGGTCAGTTGATTGTTTTCGGTTAGGTTGGCACAGTGCCAAGCTGTTGCTAACATGAAGTTTACATATGTTGTATCATGTCAACAATATGGTATCCATAAACGATCTGGTGATCCTCGTGCACAGGATATATTGAGGCTTATGATTGACGAGGTATGCAGAACAATCCTATTTTCTTGTCATTTGTTAACTTGTTTTGAACTTATGGCTTTGCTGACAGTTGGCAGATACCTGATTTCTCCGCGTTGCAAACATTGATCTGAGGTGGAAGAACCAGTGCAATTTGTTATGTCGTTGAAAATATTCGCGCGTGTTAGATAAGCCCGTCCAGAAGGTGCTGCTAAATGCTGAAATTTGTTCTGATTTTCTTAGTAAAAGCTGAATCATGTATTGTATAAAGTTTAGTTAAATGGCTACCTAATGTGTTATACACCTTTGTTAATTCGTATAAGTTCTGCCTCTAGAAAACATACATCTTGTGCCAAGTTTAGTTTTACTGTTATATTTGCTATGTCATGTTCATTTGTGTTACTCTAGGATCATGAACTAGCTCTTATGGATGCAATCGCAAAGCTTGAAGAAATATCAGACGGAGAGAGCGGTAATATTTTGATAGGGCCCTTCTAAAATCTCCTCAGGTTGGCATCTTTTGTCTGCTCTTTGGACCAATGTGTTTTGTTAAAAATGTGAATGCGGTTTAAATGCAGAGATGATGGAGCCGAAGCATTAGACTTGCTAATAAGGTGTTGTAGATGGTGGTGGCAAAATCTGAATTGATGAGAGGGAGATTTCGAAACTTGTATGGATGGCAAAATGTATTTTGTTTAGGGGGAGGACTGGAATTGATGAAACTGATCTAGAGTAAAGATATGTATTAGCAAACTCGTATTCACATCCATTATCCATATATGGTCTTGATAAACAGAAATGTCAAGAGTGATTCATAAGATACTTAAAAAGCAATAAACAGTGGACAAAAGTAGACGATACGTTGAGGTGACGAGAGATAAGGCAGACCTTGCATCTGAAGTTACGTTTACACTTTCTTATCTCCTTTTGAAGATGACTGATCATAGTATAGAACCAGTTACGTTGTTCAGGATGGTTGATTAATATCTCTAGCATTGCCTCCAAAAGTGCCTTGACTTGCACCATTTGCTTCTCTATGTTTTTATCATCGTTGATTAATATCTCTAGCAGCACCTTTCAACGGACTTGATCTGCACAAACACACATCTCAGACGTTTTCAATTGCAATTCATTAATGAATTTAACCACTAGAGATCTATCAAAATGGTTGGTTTTAGTCTATAAGACTTTATAGCCACTGTCACCACCAAGTAGCCTTTCGTTCCAGAATTGTATTGTTTTGTTTGGACAAAACTCAAATGGAAACTTGAATCTTTGTCTGTAACTTGGTCTGCTGTTTCTTTTGCAGGTACTGGACTTGCTTGAAGATGCTTGTGCGCCTTTGCTGGACAGTATCACCGTGTAAAGTTGATGATACTGCTTTGCACTTAAAACTGAGAGAGTTCTTTTATTCTCTTACTACATTTGTAAACATCTTAGCAATTTAAGAGTATGAGAAATGATGTGAAGCTTGAATCTGTGACATTTATTTCTTCTTCCCTGAACCTTGTTAAACTGTACATATTCTTAAGATAAGATTTGTATTCTATCTATCATTCAATATTATTAGAAGAGAAAGAGAAAAAAAAAAAAAAAAGAAGAAGAATGTGTGGACGTAAAGTGTTGTTGTTTGAGATGTTTATCTTATCATTTCTGAGTATTGTGGGACAGTGATTTTGTCGTTAGCAAACATTTTCCACGAAATCTCACCATATTTTCCTGGAAACATCCATAGAGTCTTCTGTGTCAGTAGAGTCTTCGACAGTCACACAAAGCCTCTTGTTCATTGTTAAAATCCTTGCTCCATCCATCTCTAGAAATCCTTGCTCCATCTTTTACCATACTAATGGATTCTTCTTCTTTATCTCTTTTATCTCCTCAAACATCTTTGTCTCGAAACTGGAAACACGATGTTTTCCCCAGCTTCCACGGGGAAGATGTCCGAAGAACCTTTCTTAGTCACATCATGGAATCATTCAGAAGTAAGGGAATCGACCCATTCATTGATAATGATATACAGAGGAGTAAGCCGATAGGTCCTGCACTCGTAGAAGCTATCAAAGGATCAAAGATCGCGATCGTCTTGCTCTCCAAGAACTATGCTTCTTCTTCGTGGTGTCTTGATGAGTTGGCAGAGATCATGAAATGCAGGGAACTATCAGGTCAAACAGTCATGACTATTTTCTATGAAGTGGAACCAACTGAAGTAAGGAAGCAGATGGGAGATTTTGGAGAAGCCTTCAGACAAACTTGTAAAGATAAAACACAAGATCGTACTGAGATATGGAGAAAAGCTTTGGAGGATGTGGCCCAAATCGCTGGATATCATTCTAGCAATTGGTTCGTCCTCTTGATTTAATACTCTCCTTAATTAATTAATACTAGATTCTAACACGGGTTGATTTGTATTTAGTAATTTATTTTATATATATTTTAGAATAGAGATTTAATATATTATAATATTATAGTAAGTATTAAGTAAAATGATATTGATTTTTTTTTGTTAGTCCTAAATTATAATATTAGACTGATGAATTTTGTTTTAATATTTCTTGAAAATTACTTTATTTATGATACCAACCACAAAATGAAATTGAATATAATTAAGAATCCATGTTTTCATTTAGAATATCAATTTGCACAATCTATTATTCCTTATTTTCAAAATTGTTTACACAATAAAAATTTTAAATATTTAGATGTATCAAATCTTATTTGAACTTAATCATCATATAATTTAACCAGACATATATTATTATAAGAACCACAAATCTTTCTATCATATAATACATTACATTAAATATTCCAATTTAAACTAATTTATTGAAATATAATTACTCAAGTCTGAATGTTTGACCCATTACAATTATTTATTCATTGATTTAAAAATTTATTTTCTTTATTAAAAAATATAAATCATGGTATATGCTGAAAAATCTAATTTTTTTTATTATACGGATAAGATGATAATTTATTTGTTTCACATAACATAAAAGGGAGATTTCCACAATAACATTATACAAATACCCTCTCTTGGTGTCCATTTTCAAAAATACCCTATTCAATGTACAAAATGAATAAATTACACTCTTTTATTATAACCCATGATGAAAAAAGAATATTATTTCCAACAAAAAGAATATTCATTCCAAAAATTTTTCCGCCAAACAAATTCCGGCCATAATATTTCCAGAATTCTTTAAAAACCTTGTACATATTTTTAAAACCCTTAAAAAATCCTTTAAAACCCCTTATAAATCTTTTAAAAGTCATACAAAACCTTTAAAAACTTTAGAAAACCTTTTAAAACATTTGTAAATCATTTTATAACATTTATAAACACTTGTAAATCCCTTTAAAACCCCTTATAACCGTGGTAAATATTTTAATAAAAACTTTTGTAAACTTCTAAGACCCTTTTAAAAACCCTTGTAAACCCTTTAAAAGTCTTTGTAAACCCTTGAAAAACCTTTGTAAACTTCTAAAACCCTTTAAACCCCCTTGTAAATCATTTAAAACTATTTTTAAATCCTTTTAAAACCATTTTTAAATTTTTGGCAAGAAATATTTTGGATGGAATATTCCATCCGAAGGAAGGAATCTTCTTTCAACTAGGGGTATAATGGTCATTAAAATTTAAGAGATGGCAAAAATGTATATGGCAAAAAAAGATGGTAGTTTTGCAAAAGGGTATCATAAAAAGATCATTAGTAAGAATTTCTCTACATAAAATCATATAAAAGTGAGAAGTGAAGTATAATGACTAATAAAAATATAAGAGAATTTTTGAGAAATACCCCTTTTTGTGTACCCCTTTTTAAAAATACCCCTCTTTTCTATCCATTTTCAAAAATACCCCTTTTCAAATATGAAAAATTATAACCTTTTATATGGTTAATAAGGTACATCGAATTCATCATTACTACTGGGAGACTAAATCTAAATATCTATAAGGTTTTAAAAGGTTCTAAATGGCATTTATAATGTTTTATAAGGTTTTTAAAAGGGTTACACAGTTTTTATAAGGGTTTTAAATGATTTTAAAAGGTTTTTAAAATGTATTTATATGGTATTTATGAAATATATATATAAATTTACACACATATAAAGATAATTTGTGTTTATAAATATAAGTTTACTTATATGTTTTTGATAAATTTCAAAATTTATAGTGACTTTTTGATAAAATTAGAAAGAGGGGTATTTTTAAAAAGTGGTATTGGAAAAGGGGTATTTTTGAAATTCCCCAAAATATAATATGGTAAATTACATATCAAATTTTATATGTGCATTTTGATTGGTTGTATTCTAAAAAATATATATATATATATATTTGTTTCTGTAATTTAATTAAATTTTATAAATTAGTTTTTGACATTTTTACTCATATGATATTTAATTTAATGCATATTATAATTTCCTCTTCTTTTTTTTAACCGTTGTTGTAAAAACTAAAATAAGTTGTAATTTGATAGAATTTGTATTGGCACTATATTGTAGTTAAGTAACTTTTTAAATTGTGTACTTCCATCTTATTAATACGTGGATTTCTTTTTACAGTTTATTTGTCACTTTAAAAAAATAGCACAAAAAATACATATGTTTTGGATATGTATCAGAATTTATCATCACTTTTTAACAATTATACTTACTATCTTTCAATGTTAGGGTCAATGAAGCGGCTATGATTGCAAAAATAACAACTGATGTTTCAAACATGTTGAATAGCTCCACACCATCAAGAGATTTTGATGGTTTAGTAGGGATGAAAGCTCATATGGAAGACTTAGAACCGTTACTAAGCTTAGATTTGGATGAAGTAAGGATGATTGGGATTTGGGGGCCACCTGGGATTGGTAAGACGACCATCTCCAGAGTTCTGTTTAACCGAGTCTCTAACAGATTCCAACTTGCCGCAATCATGGTTAATATCAAAAGCTGCTATCCAAGACCTTGTTTGGATGATTATAGTGCAAAATTGCAACTACAAAACCAAATGCTGTCCCAGATGATCAATCAGAAAGAAATCACGATATCTCATTTAGGGGTGGCAAAAGAACGGTTAAAAGACAAGAAAGTGTTACTTGTTCTTGATGATGTGGATCATGTACAACAACTAGAGGCCTTGGCGAAAGAAAATCAATGCTTTGGTCCTGGAAGTCGGATTATAATCACAACAGAAGATCAAGGAATTTTAAACTCCCATGGGATCAATCATATATACAAAGTGAAATTTCCATCAAATGATGAGACTTTTCAAATCTTTTGTATGCATGCCTTTGGTCAGAAAAACCCATATGAAGGCTTCTATGAGCTTGCTCAGGAAGTTGCATACCTTGCTGATAAACTCCCTTTGGGATTGAAGGTTCTAGGCTCCGCTTTGAAAGGAAGGTCCAAGCTAGAGTGGGAAAGGACACTACCAATGTTAAAGACCAGTCTTAATGGAGAAATAAAGAGCATTATAAAGTTCAGTTACGATGCCTTAGATGATGAATATAAATATTTATTTCTCTATATAGCCTGCTTTTTCAACGACGAAGATCAACATAAAGTGGAAGAGATTCTTCCAAAGAAGTTCTTGCATGTGACGAAAGCTGGTATTCATGTCTTAGCTGAGAAATCTTTCATATCTTTTGACAATATTACCGGATATATACATATGCATGCTGTGCTAGCACAATTCGGAAGAGAGATTTCTCGTAAGCAATTCGTCCACACTGATCAGAACTCAAAATATCAGCTTTTGATTGATAAAAAAGATATCTCTGAAGTGCTTAGTAATGATAAAACTGTAAGTTTTTTGCCTTACAAATTGAGTTTATTTGATAACTAACTATGTTATCTACTTATCTTTTTCTTTTTTTTGGCTCTTTTTTAGGATGATAGACGGTTTATAGGCATGCATTTATCTATGACTGAGAAAGAATTGAAGATAAGTAAGAAAGCACTTAAAAGAATGTCAGATCTCGAAATCGTAAGAATCACGGGTGTGTGTATTTCTCAGTTTGAGAGACTGCACTCACTTTTGTATCATTCTCAAAAGATTAGATTACTGGATTGGAGTGGTTTCAAAAGTAAATGTTTGCGATCTAGTTTTAATTCGGAGTCTCTCGTCGAACTACGTATGAGGCCTAGCAAGCTTAAGAAGCTATGGAAAGGAACTAAAGTAAGTAATTTTGATTTAAATAATTCAATTTTCAAAACCATTTTCTTATATTTCTATAATCTCATTAATTTGTATCGGTAAAAATATATAATGTTTAACAAACTCCAGCTTTATAAACCAATCCTGTCATCATTTTCTTATTGTTTCAATGCAGCAACTTAAAAATCTCAAGTGGATGGATTTGTCTTTTTCTAAAGATCTGAAAGAGCTTCCCGATCTTTCAACCGCAATTAATCTTGAAGAGTTAAATCTCATTTGTTGTGGGAGTTTAAGGAAGCTTCCTTCTTCTATTGGGAATGCAACCAATCTCCAGAAATTAGACCTCTCTCAATGCTCAAAGCTGGTGAAAATCCCTTCTTCTATTGAGAATTTGACCAATCTCCAGAAATTAGATCTCTCTAATTGCTCGAATCTTGTGGAGCTTCCCTATATTGGGAATGCAACTAAACTCGAGAAGTTGAATCTTTGGAATTGTTCAAGTCTTGTGAAACTCCCGTCTTCTATAAATGCCACTAATCTCAAGGAATTGAATCTAGAAAATTGTTCACGTGTTTTGGAGCTGCCTGCTATCGAGAATGCGACTAAACTTGAGGTATTGAATCTCGATAATTGCTCAAGTCTACTAGAGCTCCCTGCTATCGAGAATGCGACTAAACTTGAGGAATTGGATCTCAATTATTGCTCAAGTCTACTCGAGCTCCCTCCTTCTATTGGAACTGCCAAAAATCTCAAGTATTTGAATGTTAGTGGATGTTCAAGTCTCGTGAATCTCCCCTCCTCTATTGGAGATCTCACTAATCTCGATTATTTGAATCTATCTCACTGCTCAAATCTGGTGGAGCTTCCTTCTTCCATAGGGAACCTTCAGCGATTGCGTTATTTGAGAATGAGAGGATGCTCAAAGCTAGAGGCTCTTCCAACCAACATCAACTTGAAATCTCTCGGTATTCTTGATCTCACAGATTGCTCGCAGTTGAAAAGTTTTCCTGAGATCTCCACAAACATTAAGGAGCTGTCGCTCACCGGAACTGCAATAAAAGAAGTTCCTTTGTCGATCTTGTCGTGGTCTCGTCTTTCTTATTTCCGTATGTCATACTTTGAAAGCCTCAAGGAATTCCCGCATGCTCTTGACATCATCACGGAGCTGCAGTTGAACGAAGATATACAAGAAGTTGCTCCATGGGTCAAGGAAATGTCTCGTTTACGTGAACTTGGACTCCACAACTGCAAGAATCTGGTATCACTCCCCCAATTTTCAGATTCCCTATGTGACATAGATGCAGACAATTGTCAATCCCTTGAGAGGCTCGATTGTTCCTTTAACAATCCAGAGATCCGTCTTAAGTTCAGGAACTGCTTCAAACTGAATCAAGAAGCCAGAGATCTCATCATGCACACATCCACTTCTAGATATGCGGTGTTACCAAGTAAACAAGTGCCTGCCTGCTTCAATCACCGAGCTACTGCTGGAGGTTTATTGACAATCAAGTTAAATGAGTCGCCTCTTCCTAAATCTTTGAGATTTAAGGCTTGCATCATGCTGGTTAATATTAATGAAGAATCGGTTGATGATTCGATGCATGTAGATATTGAAATCATGGACAAACAGAATGATCTCAAAGTTCGGTGTACACCAAGCGGCCATTACATATATCGATTTTTAACAGAGCATATCTACATATTTGAAGTTGAAGCAGAGGATGTGACTTCCACCGAGCTTCTCTTTGAGATCGGAATAGGCTATAATAAGAAGTGGAAGATCGGAGAATGGGGTTTATATCAAATCTTGGAGGTTCCTTAGTGTTAATGAACATGATAATGAAGGGCAACGATGGAGGAGGTTTGGAAAATTTTATGCCATTTTCGTCTTAAATTAATATAAATAAGATTGTGTAATGTTATGTTTAATTGAAACAAATTGCAGATAAAGAAGGAGCTGTAGCAACTGAGGGAGAATATGAAAACCCAAAACTGGAGGAGCTGTAGCAACTTTTGAAACTCTTGTTTAATTTGAACAATTAGTGAATGATGTTTTTGGGATTTTGGTTTTGATGTTGAAGTAAAGAGATGTTGAGACTTTGATCCAAGAAAAAGAAACTATTCAACTTTATACAGGAATTGTGTGGCTTGATTAGTATCTCCGAGAAAGGATTTGCAATTTTTGAGAAAGCCTCTGGATGCACAAGAGGGCGTTCTTGGTGACCTCAGCGTTGTTGTCACTCGTTCTTTTGCCTTGAGGGCTGTTACGATCACTCTCCCCGCTGCGTGGTACTGTATGAATTGTGAGAGATCAAAGCATGCCACCGCCAATGATCTTGGATCACTTGACGTGTCCAGCATCGTGAGGAGGATCGGACCCTGACTATCTGCATCCAGACAGGTTTTAAAACGTGATTAGGAGGACCAATCGATAAAGAAATATTATTCTCGACCAAGTAAGAAGGCACAAGGATCAACATAACAGAGCAGAGACCAAACTTGTCTGGAACCAGTCTGCTTTGCGCCCTTTGATTCCCGAAACAGGTTTAAAGAAGTCATACCTGGAAGTCATTGTCCTCAAAGCTTGTGACGTTATCACGCCAGAAAATGGCCTCTTTGTGCATTGGGTTCCACTCAAGATGGCCAAGAAGAACCTCTTGCTTATACTTGTCAAAGGAACTTAATTTCCTTGATCTTGTCTTTTACGCCTTCTTCTAGTTGGTTCAATGCATCCAACAAGTCTTTAAAGTTCAAACTTTTCTAAAAGTCACTTGCTTAAAGATGCATGTGTGTGAGTCTTTGCTGGATAGTATCACTTTGAAAAGTTGATGATATATGTAAGTTTACAAGTCTTACTTTGTTGGCGTTGCACATCAGTGATGTCAATAGTAAGAGATTATATGACATGAAGCTTTAATCTTTTGTTGGTGTTTACTTTGGAAAACCTAATTGTCATATCATTATCTAATATACACGATTGGTTAATTGTGATTATTGGAATAACAAAGCAAGGTACATTAAGTTTCTCTGCATTATAGTAAAGCTTCTGAACATTGCCACGAGGCTTGACTTCGTTGAGTAAACTTTATGTATTGGTGCTTGGAGTTTGGACACTTAAGCAAATCTACACTAAAACTGTAGCCAATAATATCACATGGCATATGAGAGATTGAGAAAGACTTGAAATACCATAAAGTTTAAAACTTAATTATAAGAAAATGCACATTAATCATTATTTTAATTTTATTATCAAGTTGTACAGCAGTAGTTGCAGGTTTTAGGTGTTAAGATTTGCAATTTTTTCCATTGATCCAAGCTTTATGCTCTTTTGTATCTCTTTCTTTATGGATTCTTAATAGACATATCTGCAGAAAGTTTTGGTACTTTTTTTTGTTTTGCTTTGCTCTGTTTAATTTTATACTTTACTTGCTTGATGATAATATTAATCTGCAGATTCAACTAGCCTTACTTGGCTGCTAAGTAACAATTTTGATGTTCAGACAACAAAGCTTTCGAATGAGAGACATTGTAAAATGTTTAACTATAACAAACCTATTTGTTAGATCAGAATCCAAAAGAAGCTGTGCGTTTGCAAAAGACTACAAAGACTCTTTGGAGCGTACAGACACATATATACAAACTACAAAGTGTTGATACTCTTTTATGCCAAATATAAAAAGTTAAAAATCTGTAATTTAATTGCGTATCCTGATTAAAAAAAAAAACAAAAAAAAAGAGAAATAGGGGACGAGCTTGAAGAATTTTGTAATTTGGTTCAAATAATTTCGATATATAAATTCTTATATTGAATTATAATAAAGTTAGGTTTTGGAATTTGCATTGATGAATTTTGGTTATGTTCGACTTACATATATACTAGATTTGGACCCGCACATACGTGCGGGATTGATTTCAAAAACAAAATTTGTTATAAAATTTTCAAATATATTATGTACGTACGGGATTATGTTTGTAAACGTAACTTTTAGGAATGTTATTAACATTTATAATCTAAACCAGTATCAAGTAAATATTTGTTTTTTTTTTTTTAAATTAGGTTAAACAAAAAATACAACCGATTTAGTTTTATTAAAGACAGTTGTACTTGTACCTTAAAAAATAGTAAAACAATTGTAGTTTGTCAATTTCGGGACATAAATCTTGTCTCGTGCGTCTTAATATGTCATGTTTTTCCATTCCATAAGCATTTTAATTATTTACCCATTTGAGATTGTATATTTTAGTCAAACATATAAGAAAATGGG